AATAAAGCAAATCTGGACTTAGGGAAAAAAAAATGCCCTAGTATGGAAAATATTTTCATACATATAATACCACTTAATTTGCAATAGTATATACTAATGAAATAAGCACAGAAGTCTTTCTCTCTGTTTATTTCACTACAGATGAGCTGACTTGATTATGCAGACACATGTGCTTATCTTCTCTGATTTTCCAGAAACCGTATTAAAAATGCTGGGAGCTAGAAGTGCTCCAGCTAGAAGCTAAAGCATTGAAGTGATGTGATTGCTAAAATAACTTGCACTGTAAGAAAGATTTAATGTTTTCTTTTCAGACCTAAGTGCAGCATATTCCTATCATAGTGATTTTTACTAGGTCTTAATAATTAATAAACTAATAAAAAATCAAAATAGTAGATAGGAGGCTATAATAATATTACAGATAACATTAGTATCAGGTATTAGCTCAAAAAGGATGAAAAATACCCAATTTTGAATAAAGATCATTCTTGAAGTACAAGACCACAGCTTAGATATTTCTTTTACCACCTTAACCACGGTCAGCTGGAAGTGTCCTGATAAGTAGAAGATGGCTGAGATTCAGGATTATTGTCCCACACCCAGCCTACCACATATGCTATTATATTGCCTGCTCCATCAGACATCTCATTAATGCTCTGCTCTGACTATCTCCATGGAAACAGGGGGACAAAGCCATTTCTCCAGCATCACTGCCCAGCCGTTTTAGGTAGCAGCCACCTTTGGTTCAGTGTGAGCACTGTGGCAGCCAGCACAAAACCTTCACCACTCCTCACAGATCCTCTTCTCCCCATGCAGCTGTGGGAGCAGTGAGAAGTGTTCCCTGTGACTTACGGAGAAGCTTCTGACAACAGCCCCCTTAAGGAACACGGATGCTGCAACTCTAATTGTTGTGGGCATGTCTACAAGATAACCACAACCCTACTTTCTGTTTTCTCTGGCTGCAGCTCTGTGCACCTGTTACAGAGCTTGCCCCTGTGCTGCTCCAGCCTGCCCAGATGTGCTCAGGAGCCCGCTGTGAGTGGTACAGCATGAGGTCCCCTCAGGCATGCTGCCTCCTGGCACTGCTCTGCTGCACCACAGAGCATCCTCTTGAGCTGAGCTTCTTCAGCCCTTGGACAGCATTTCCTCTTCCGCCCTCACTAATGGAAATGGAGGACTGTAGCCAAAATCTATTCATTTTGCTAGGAAGGTTTTAACCTCCTCCAGAGATTTTCAGATCGATCACAACTGTTTTCCTCTATAGCCCATTATCTAGGTTGCTTTGCAGAAAATTTGTCTTCATATTTTGGACTCACTACTCTACTGTTTCCAAACTCTAAAAGAATTTACGTCAGCAACTCCACTGCATAGATCTGGTATGTGGCTAATGCTGGAAAATTGTTTATGTTTATTGCAACTTATAAAAACATAAGTAGTTTTTTAAAATTACAGTCTATAAACTACACATATTCAATAAAAATATTAGAAGCAACTAAGAAGTCTTACTAAAAATAGCTTCTTTTTTTTACAGCTGAAACCAAGTCATTGTTTACCAATATTCTGCTGTCTTAATTATGTGCTGTCTTTAATAGGGTAACTGCAAGTCTGCAGTTAAATAATTGGATCTGAAAATTTTCATCCCCTCCTCCAAACAAATTAGCAAAAAAACAAACAAACTAACAAACAAAAGCCAGGAATTCCAACTTCTCAAGAGATTTCTACATAAAAAAAATCTGTTGGTATGGAAATACTTTGTACTGGGATTTTAATTGAAACTCAGCAACACTGTTATGATTATGTTTATGTTTATAGTGAAATCAGCCAGTAAAAATCTGCCTTTAAATATCTATTGTTCATTTCCACCTTCACCTCTGCAGATATGCACACATGTGAATTTGTATATAAATTAGTAATTGTCATTAATGTAGAACATTACTACCTATATCTCTAGGTATAATATCTGGATATGGTATCTCCATGCAAAAACACATGTAGTTCAGATGTAAAAGAGTTTGGGCAAGTGTGTGCCGGTTTTCTTATTTTATACTCACCAGGTGATGGTAGGAGCTTCTCTGTTACCCTGGTTATGGTATCTGCAGTTCCCATAAATGTGACATGTCTTAGGCTTCTTTGGGTCTTGGGAGCTGCAAATACTAATGACTTGTCAAAATTCAGAATTTCATTGTAAATGCAAAAGCCAGATTATGAAAACCCTTTAAATTTCTATAACCCTGGAAACAGAGATGCAGAATACTCTTTTTTCCTATTATCTAACCTGAATCTTTCTTTCTTCAGTTTCTCCCCGTTACTGCTTATCCTGTACTGTAAGAGTATCTCTTCACAGAAGATTTGTGTGTCTATCAATATGATCACTGGCTTTTGTTATTTGGGGTTTTCCCTGGATATAAACAACTGCAGGTTCTTCACGTTATTCGGTTTGTCTCAGTAATTCAGGCTTTCTAACTTCTGGGAAATTCCCTGCTCTGTAGCTCTGCAGAGATTTTTAAGCAGAGATACTTGTAGCAGTGCCAGACAGTTAAAATGGTGCTGAACAACATTATGATCCAGTGAGATTTTTCTTTCAATTTCTTATAGCCTTTCCTTGATTTGTGACCTTTTCAAATTAGCTGGCTGTTTTTTGATTTTTTTTTTTTGCTTTTGTTTTCCTGTTTCATTTGATTAATGGTGTGTAATACTAAACTTAGGATGGCTATAATTTATACTTCATATTTATTCTATCCCTTGTGATAGTGATCAGTGCTGCTCTAAGCTTCCACATGTATTTCTCTTCCACGAAACAACTGGAAAATTTCTGCCTCTGGAATAAGAGAATATCATGACATGATGTCAGAAACTTTCTGGGTTTTCATTAATGGTTATTTTATTAGCTAAAATAAAGGAAGATATATTCACTCTTTTTGTAATACTTTTTACAGGATTAAAATTTGTGTCATCTGTGATGCCAATTTTCTGAATTTTTGACATATGTATATGTGTGTGTATATATATATATATATATATTTTGGAAGCCTGTGACCGAGTGAATGCAATCAAAGAGTACATCTTGTAAGAAGCTGTGTTGAAAGTGTCATTCTTCACATGCCAAAGGAAGTCACTGCACTCATTTTTGCCTCCAGCTGTGTAAATGTTACTCTGTCCTCTGCTTTGCTTCAGATAAGGGATCTGAAATAAAGCTGCAGAAGGTGACCTGAAAATAGATTTATTTTAATCCAAACTGTGGGTAAGTATAAATCAGACATTCCAGTAATCCAAACTTAAAAGGGTTTTAATCTCATTTCCTTAAGTCTTCATCTTGTCCACCTCACCATGAAGTTTTTGCCCTGTATCTCTCCAACCCTGCCCTGAGCTGCCAAATGCCTTCCTGCAATGCTCTTACAAATCATCCAGACTCTTTAAAAATCAGTAGGACTCATCTGAGTGGAAACTCTATCACATCCTGTGCTAAAAAATCTGATTTCTGGTGATGTCCACAGGACAGCAGCACATCCTGAAGAGTTAGCAGGCTATTGATGGGCTTCCTGAGCTGAAGTTCCCACTGTACCTGCTCCTGTGCTTTTCTTGCACTACTCATCCACCAGGAAACACCAAGGGGTGCTGGAAGATGTGGATTCAGTTTGTGTGCAGATCTCAGAATTTTCAAGAGTAATTAGTGTCACCGGCTGGTACTAACTGAGAGCAGAAAGGATGGTTAGAATCCCCACACCTCTTGAATACTCTTTTGGTTGAGGCTGCGGTTAAATCTTAATTATAGGTAATCCTAGAGCACTTTTAGGAGTTTAACAGTGCAAGTTTTAACTAAATTAAGTCTGATTATTCTTAGCTTTTTGTCAGCTAGGGAAATCCATTAAAGCATCCCACAATATTTAATTACTTGCCAGGACCTGGCCCTACTGAATAGAATGGCAAAATGCCCATTCATCCCAGGCAGGATTTTACCATCAAGTCAGAGCTCAGTACTTCTCAGGTTTAGGGACCAATAGCTCTTTTTTTACCCAGTCTTCAGTTAATTTTTTTCATGTCAAAGAACCTGAATATGACTATGCTTTGAAGCTTATATATATATTTTAAAATGTCATCAAATTTCCCCAGTGCTGGGAAATTCAGCGACGATTATTGCTTTTCATGAAGTACCTTGACATTTGTTGTACATTAGGAAGTAATAAAACAGAAGAATCTACAGATTTCTGTGATGTGGGTTATTAGTATAATGACCCTATAACCTGTAACAAGCCAGTGTTCTGACAGTTTTATGATAAACTGTCCCAGTGCACATCATCCTGGAGCTGTGCATAGTGGCATGATATACCATTTTAATTATATGTCAACATTTTAGGACGGGAACCCTTTTTTCTTGCATTTACAGATTATATCAATCACAGGATAGCTGAGTTTGAAAGTCACCTCTGGTTATGATCTAATGCTACTGTCCCTCTCAGATAATGGTCAGAGAGAGCATATGGCTCAGGATCATATCCAACTGGGTTTTGAATATCTATCTCCAAAGCTGGACACTCCATAGATTTTCTGGGAAATCCTCACAATGAAATAAAAATTAAAAATAATAATACTAAAAAAAAACATAAGATATATTTAGATGGAATTTTATGCACTTCACTTTATGCTCATTGTCTCTTGTTCTGACACCAAACACCACTGAGAAGAACCTAGCTCCATCTCCCCTATTTTTCACATCAGGTATTGATGATACACATGGGTAAGATCCCTTGACTGATCCATCTCCTCACCTTCCAGGCTGAAGAGTTCCTATTCCCTCAACCTCTATGTATGAGAGATGCTTCTGTCCTTTAATCATTTTTCTGGCCCTTTGCCTGATGCTTTTCAGCAGCTTCATGTCTGCCTTGAAGCTGGGGAGCCTGGAGCAGGACATGGAACTCCAAACAGAGTAGTAAGGGTGAGATTAGAATGTTGTAGAATGTAGAATGTCTAGTAGGCATTGACATAACCTCCAGATGTAACAACATGTGTGCTGCTGTGCTGGTGATCTCAGTGCCACAATCAAACCTAGGCTTGAGGGAGATTTACCAGCAAACCGTGAGCAGCCAAAATACAGTTTCCTGTGAAAAAAATAATGCTAGATGACAGCTAAGATAGGGGTTGTTTGTATGAATCAAATAGGATTGTCTTTGTGATAGGAAATAATGTGATTGTCGTCGAGGAGACAAAATGTGACTTGCACTCCTCAAAACCAAAATGACAGAATGTATGTGAGTGACATTCCAGACTGAATTGGCAGGGACTTGCTGTCATTTCCATCCCTTTGCATCTGCCTGGATCGAGTTAGTTATTCTTAGCTGTCTCACACGGATTGGTATCTCCCAGGATGACAATTCAACAGCTTGCCTTGCCAGCTTTCTCTAGTTACTTTTTGTTTGTTTGTTTCAGTGTAAATTCCTTCCTAATTGTTTTCTTTGAATTATTCCTCCTTAACTTCTCTGAATACTTTTTTTATTAGTAGACAATAGCAAATGTCATCTTCATTCCTTACTTTGTATTATTCTTCTTTCCTTCTTTCAAGCTCTTAGAGGAAAACATCACTTTCCTTTTTATTTTTTTTTTTCCAATCACTGCTTCATAATTTTCATATTAAAGCAAATTCTCTAAGGCCCTACATATTCTTGTGGGAGACCTTCTGTACTGTGTAATGTTGCTGCTTGATGGCAACACAAAGAAAAGTGTTCTTTTGTGATCAAATTTCTGCCAGGCTCTGCTACACTGAGCAGAAAAAAACAAACCACCATCAGATGGCAAGATGTGATGGTCAAAATGCAAACCCTCATCTAAATATAGTTTGCATTATTAACCTAGAGTATACCTGCAAAGTCACTCACTGCTGGGGTGATGATGATGTAGAAAAATCTGCTGGAAACATTTTTTATTTTTCTCTCCACTCTCTGAAGGAGAAGAGGTGTCATGTGGGAAATTTTGCTTATGCCTGGGATTTATTACTGCTCTTGGAGAAACATTAAAGTACTTTTGTACACCCCCATGATGCTTAAACTGCTGATGGGGTGGATTTCAACCAGGTTATCAGGCTGCACCTGAGATACAAACTGGTTTTCCCTCCTAGAAAACTGCAATTTCCTCCTTTCCTGAGGAACTGAGTTCCCTGGCATACAGCCAGTCAGGTTGCGCTGGCGCTTAGAAGCAATAAAATCTTCATCCAGCATGGCTAAATCCTTGATTGTTCATTTCTCATAGCCCTGGGCAAAATCAAATAGAAGTTTTCACACAAGATATTTTCTTCCCTTCATATCAGAATATGACTACAAATATGGTATTGACTTCTCACTTTCTATGTAATAGGCTTTGCTGCACTTTACTAACGTTATCTCTAGCTTTTAGAGTTTATTCTCAGTAGAGCCTGTGGGAGAACACAGGGATGTTGTCCATGTTCACAAATAATTGTGTTTATATCTACATGATGCTCCTTAAAGAAAATTACTGTAAGTCTTGCCTCTGCAGTCTCCAAAAACTAAAATAAGAGAAGAATAGTTGCATTTTCTGTCATGAAAAAAATATGTTTGTGTGTGTTTGAGCACTGTTTACAGCTTGAGAGCTTACATATTGGGGGTGTGGAGGAACAAAGGTTGGGGGGAGGCTACATCCTCTGAAACTGTGAAAGCTTTGGACCTTGGTTTAACACAACCTGCAGAAAGCAGGTGCCACCTTGCAGAATAAATAAAGTGAGTATTTAACTAAGCAGTTACCTAACCAACTCTTTGTATCAGAACATTGATGGCAAGCTGCAGAGCCATTAGCACTAATTTAGACAGACTCTGGGTAAGCAGTAGGACTAAAAATTGTTCTCAATATTCTTTTAATGCTGCTCTGGCCTTCTCAACAAGAAGAAAACCTGAACCAACAACATTTCACGGGGGTCTAATGTCTAAAGACACTACAAAAAAAAAAAGTTTTTTTACATTTTAACTTGTTTGGAACAATTTTAAATTTAAGAGGTTCTGGGATAAGACTGGGAGACAGATCCCCTTTTTTCCTCTAAAAGGAATTTAGGTTCTGGGATAAGACTGGGAGACAGATTCCCTTTTTTCCTTCTATTGAAAAGGATTTTTGAGGAGACAGAAACATTACATCAGATACAGTTACAGAAAATAAAACATGAGCTCTTGTATTCTTTTTCTCCTCAAAACCTCAGTTTAAATAATTTATTTTCTTGTATTCTTTTTCTCCTCAAAACCTCAGTTTAAATAATTTATTTTCTTTAAACCAGAAGTGAAAACAATATTCATTCTCCTGCCTGTGAATATGTGGCAGATAAGAATCCAAAACTAGATTGTCCTCAAAGAAATGTGTTCTGCAAAATTGCTTACCTAAATGGTAAATGGCAGATGAACCTGCAGTATCACTGCTGCAGCTGGTCAGAAAATGTAAAGATCTTAAGAGTTTGGAAACTTTATTGAAATTTAAAGCAAAAGTTTAAATGAATCTGTGAATTTGAACAGTGTCTACAATATATTTCTATAGCATACATCCAGAGTGCTTAATTAAAACACTATTGCAAGAGTGATATAAACAATGAAAAGCACCTATTGCAAACTAATAATGCACTGGGATAGTGATTTATTAAACAATCATAATGAAATTATCAAATCAATGTAAGTAATTCTATAACTTTAGACCTTTATAGAATGATCACTGTGTTTTAGTCAGGATACTGAGAAAGAAAAAGAATTCATTTTAAGCCTCTTAAAAATTTCAGCTACAGTGCCTGGTGAAGGTTTGATACCTCATGTGTACATGTGCAGATAACAGAAAGGGCTGGTTCAGCCTGGGGAGCCCCAGGGTGCTGCACTTTAGGACACTCAGCTTCCACTGTCTCAATTCTTGGCAGAACATGCAATGGCTAAATCAGCATGTGTGTTTCTGTGCAAGTGACAGTGCCAGCACTGTGACTAGAGAGCTTTGTAAGGCTGATATCAAATACTGAGTATGTCTAAAACCTCAGTCTCCATCAACATCCTCTCACCCTTTTCTGTCCTGCTGGGAGGTATCTCCTCTGCTTTACAAAGGTAATTCTTGTGGTCCTGGGCTCTTCTCTACTGTATTAAAAAAATATTTCAAGTTAAGGACTGAGCATGGAAAACTGAGCTTCTGCTTTTCACAGTTTCTACATGATTCATTGGTGGGGAGGCAGGGAGCTTGTTCATCCACGGCTACACCCTGCTGCTTTGTATTAATGTAAGACAAAATTATATCAGGGCCTGGTATCACAGTGGGACCTACTGAATCTGCAGGATATCTGACTAAGATATACCTCCTGCTATTCATTTGCCTTGTGCAGCCTAAATCAGGTCATTTGAACAGATCCTAATCTTGTTAATGATAACCACAGCACAAACATTTCTTTCAGACAAATGGGTATCACAGCAAAGTAAATAGGCAGGGTCCTGCTAATAGTAACCACTAGTCTCTGTGTTACAGATGCAAAACCTCTTGCATATAGTAGCAACATTTACCTTTACAATAAAAATCGTAAGTTTAATACTGCAAACTCATTCAGAAGACCTGTATTACAAACATTTTTTAGAGCATGTATTTGCAGTAAGAAACAAACAAAAAAAAGGGATCCATAATTTTCACATAAGTAATTTATTTTTTTTTGGTGAATTGATCTTGTTTAAGTGCGTTCTTTTACATTTTCTAGCTTTTGAAAATGAAATAGTTCATCACTTTTAATAGAAGATGCTAGCTATCTTGGTGTCCAAACAAAGGCAGATGACAAATGCCAGTGTTTTAAAGTTCTTGAAAACTGATACTTTTTTCAGGTTAAACACTGATATCAGTGTATCAATTCCAAGTATGTTACAGGGAGCAAGCCTTCATCTCTTCTCATGGCTACTCTGTCCCCATAAAGTGTTTGCAAACCTGAACACTGATTTTTACAAGCACCTCATACTGGAATAATCACTTGCAATTCAGTTTCAGCCACGCAGGCACCCAAGATCCAAGTCAGGCACTGAGGGAACCTTTAGTGCTGCACATTCTCCATCTGTCCTTCAGGAGCAGGGGGAGGCACAGACAGACTGGGAAAGGGTGAAAGGGGAACCTTGACAGCGGTCTGGACAAGCTCTAGACACAGGCCCATGGGAATCTCATGAGGTTTAATGAGACCTGGCTCAAGGTGCTGCACCTGGGCTGGGGCAGCCCCCTGTACCAATGCAGGCAGGGGATGAACAGACAAAGAGCAGCTCTGGGGAGAAAGACTTGGGGGTGCTGGTGGGGGAGAGGATGATGCTGGACACAAGCTGGCTTAGAGTCCAGAAAGACAATTGTATCCTGGGCTGCATCAAAGGCAGTGTGGCCAGCAGGGTAAGGGAGGAGATTCTGCCCCTCTGCTCCGCTGTGATGAGACCCCACCTGCAGCGCTGCATCCAGCCCTGGGGTCCCAGCACAGGAAGGATGTGGCCCTGTTGGACAGAGTGCAGAGGAGGCCACCAACATGATTAGAGGGATGGAGCACCTCTCCTACCAGGAAAGGATGAGAGAATTGTACTGTTTAGCCTGGAAAAGGGAAGGCATAGGAGTGGGCTACTTGCTGTCTTTCAGTACCTGAGGGGAGTCTACAAGAGAGATGGAGAGAGCCTTTTTATAAGAGTGTAGTGACAGGACAAGGGGGAATGTATTCAGATTGAAAGAGAGTAGATTTATATTAGACACTAGGAAAGAATTATTTACTCTGGGGGTGATGAGTCACTGGAAGAGGTTGCCCAGAGAGGGTGTGGATGTCCCATCACTGGGAATAATCAGGACCAGGCTGGATGGGGCTCTGAGCAACTTGGTCTAGTGGAAGGTGTCCCTGCTCATGGCAGGGGGGTGGAACAAGATCACCTTTGAGGTCCCTTGCAACCCAAACCATTCTGTGATCTTGTTATTCTAAAATTCAACAGTCTCCTCAATGGACCCCCACACAATGGTAAATGGTAGAGGGAAGAAGATGGGCAGCAGGTGGGTAGGGTTAATTGTTTGCTGTCTGTGCTATGGAAAAGAGCCCACCACAAGTTTTTTAAGATCTTCAAAGCTTTACTCTGCTGGAGAAGTGATACTTCACGATACGAATGCAAAACTTAAGCCTTTAGTTGAGCATTGGATGTATTGTATTTTATTTAAGGTTCTACCTAAGTGCACAGTCTACCTGTTTAGTTGTATATGACCTTAAATATGTAGTCTTCCTTTAATCCAAACCCTCGGTGATTTTCCTCTTGGACATCATTCTTTGTTCTTTACAGAAATGCAATAAATACTCTAACTGAATGCATTAAATATGAAAAGACTTACTGAGGGGACCCAAACTATAAATGATTCAAAAGGCCTTATGGTGGAAAGCATTTATTTGAAAACATTTATTATTAATTTCACAGTTTAGATGAAGTTCCTATAAGGCAGTCATTTATTAAATATTGACTTCTGTTCAGTCTACCAGATATGATTATCTGTAAGACAGCACCTATAATCAAAGCAGAACAAAACAGCAAAATGCTCCAGTCACTGATTTAGGTAATGAATGGAAAGTGCTTATTTTGCTGAGGTACTACCAAACATAACCAAAGAATTTCCTTCAGAAAGCAAACACTGTGCACTGTGTCACTAGAGGAAAGAATGACTTCAGAGTTAGAACAAGCCAAATTAAATTAAATACAGGGGGGGAAAATGGGAAAAATGTTATAAATATTAATTGAACTAAAGTATTCTTTAGTTCAAAGAACATGTAAAGAATGTGTCATCTTGAAAATAAACAATTATCTTGCAGGCAAAGATTTCATAATCGGAACCACAACTACTACTACTGCCTTATGGAGGCAATAGCATAATTTTGAAAGCTGTACATGACAACAGTGCTGAGCCAATGCTGGTGAGTTAGCTCCTGCCTACCAGCCAGCTCTTTCTAGGCTGAGAAGATAGTAATTTACTCACAGTGAAAAAGTCACAGCTATCATTTTATGATAGACCGCAAACAAATGACAGCGAAGAACTAGCACGATCATTACTTATTTCTCACTTGGAATAATTTCATGTTGGGTGTTGTATCCAAAGAATTAGAAGTTAATCTTATTCCAAAAAATGGACAAGTGAAGTCAGGCTGCATGGAGGTGCATGTAGATTGAAGGGATCTTCAACAGCATACTAAATTAATCCTGATTTCCTAAAAAAAAGCACAGTTAATCATTGTTGTAGTGTAACAAAGCATAATTATTGTGAACTACATTAGCACCAAGATGAAAGAAAATATGTGGCAATGCAAACCTGTGAATTATTTAGATGTTGCTGCTGATGGATCTATGTGAGGTGATCTGAATCCTTATGATAACTTCCCCTAGTTATAATAGGTATGAATGAACTAGAATGCTAGTCATTCTCTGGGATTGCTTTCCTGTGAGCCAGAAAGGGAAGGTCAGATCCATGAAGGAGTCCAGCTTAAAGAAAGGGTTTTCCTACAATCAGTTCCACAACTCTCAGGATGGACTGAGGGGTTTGGTAGGGAGGGAAATTCTTTGCAGCAGTGGTGTCATGAAAGTGAGGGACACAAAGCAGCACATCCAACATACTAGTCTAGATCTGGTTCAACACCATACATAAAATACTTGTGAAATCAATGTCAGAACTATTTTAAGACTTTCTACTCGACAATCATCCTGCAGTTCTGAGAATTCTGCGCTTCCTGATATAGTTTAAATTTTAATTTATCTCCTCGGAATCTATCCTGACCATGTCTTTGATTTTTAAAGTGTTTTTTCCTTTCATTGTGCCGTGAGAATGTAAGTGTGATTAGATGTGGTGCCATGAACACTGCAGTGACCAAATCAGTTAGCAAAGACTAAAATAAAAAGTATTATATGTACAATAAGAAAAATACTTTATTTCTTTTTAGTTTCTCTATTTAGGTAGCAGTAAAGCTTAGTCATGAGGGTGAAAAATCAAAGGCGTCAATATTAATGCTGAGATAATAGACTCCACTCTGATATCATTTGCATTCACAGGAATTAAGGATGCTTTATTATGCTACCCCGTTTCACAAATCCAGATAATTCTGAAGAAACCATTATGGATTTACAATAGCATAAATGAAATACAGGCCTTAATAGCTTACATTCCCACTCAGCACTCATTGTCCACATGCATATTTCATGACCATGAGCATGATGAGCTCATCAGCCACTTTGCCATTTGTGAGGATCAACTGCGCTGTATATTTCTAACCTAAAACACTTCTCAGTCTACTGTTGAAGGCTGATTGAAGACAAAGCAGGTGTCTCTGTGAAGAAGTGCCTAGCCTCAAAAGAAGAGCTGTGTGCTCAGCTTGAAGATCCTCCTGTGATGAAAGGATATACTTTCAACCTGAGGCTGCCATGTAAGCAGTTGCAGCACATCTTTAGAGGGTTGCCTGTGTCAGTAAAAACACATTCAGTTTTCAACACCTCACCTCCTCTTATGTTTTGAGGGAGAGTAGTATTTAAAATATAATGAGGGTCTAACTCAAAAAGAGAGGCATTGAAAGATGTTGTTTTATCTTAAGTGACAAACGTATTGCTATTTATCAAACAGCTTCTATCATTACAGCAGCGCTGGATTGAACTTCTCTGCCCAATTAAAAGATCAAGCACTTACCTCACATTGGGTTCATCAGTACTGAACCTGCACTGTTGGAAGTGACAGCACTTAGGGGACTGTAAAATTGATCAAGCTGAGATGATAATATACCCTCTTCCTTTTCACAGCTCTTTTTTCTGATTCAGCTAAAACTAAATTTTGCCATGTGTATGTGACACAGGAAGAAGTGATGGTCCAGAGACTTGGAAGCTGTGAAATGCAGGAAGCTGTAGAAAAGACAAGATCTTGGTTTAAGAAGCTTAAATACCGTGGCTAGATGTTGTTATTCACAGTTAGAGTTCACTAATTGAGATATCAGCAATCCACAAAGAAACTGTCCAGCTGTGAAATCCATCATTAGCAGAGTTGGAAATGAAGGCATCTTGAGGAGCCTCTAGCTGAGGTGGCACCCACATGGCTCAAGTGCCCAGAGGAAATACTGGCAAATGGGAACAAGTACAGTGCTGCACTTCCCTCATTTTCATGCTTTAGTGATCCAACTGAGTCCTTGGTATTATTGCAACATTTTTGAAGGACAAGGCATTTTCAGTGACTTAGTTTTTGAAAAATATTTACTTGCGTTTGCAGAAAAGTTTGTTTCTAAATGATCCTTTTCAAGTTTTGTAAGTCAGACCTGTGTCAAATTTAGACTAAATCTATCCTTTCTCCTCTATTTATCTCCACAGGAAATACTTCTGAGAGAACACCAAATAAGCAAGTTGGCGATGTTGATCCATGGATATGTTACAGAATTTACCCCATTTGGAACAAGAAAAGAGGGAGGAGATTGTGGCTCCACAGACCTGCAAAAGTGGTGCTCGACAAAGAACAGTCTGATGTAGGCTAACAAGAATAAATCATGAAGTGGATGTGAAAGGAAGCACAAATGCAGGATAGGTGCTTACCTAAGCACAAGAGAAAAACCTGGTAGCCTTCAGTCCTCTCAAATACATTGAGAAAGTGGGATGCTGGCATTATTGTTCATGATCACTTTCTCTAGAAATGTGATGAGGTTGAAGGGAAGGGTACCCTTATGGTCTTTGTTGTGATAAATTATTGATAGTTACAATAATTGTAGCTGACTTTGCACAGCAAGATGGTGAAAATGGGCTTGTCCATAAATGCATGACTGTCTCCTGAGCATGAAAGCGCTTGTGAGTTTTTTGAGGGGAGACATCCTGCAGGATTTCTTGTGGCCCTCTCTTCCTCTTCCTACAGTCATGTTGGAAAACTCACCCAAGTTCTTTGGTGGAAGAGAAGTCAAAGGGAATTCTTACAAATGTGGCAATCATATGGAACACTAAAGAAACTAAGGAAAGTCTATGGGAAAGGAGACCAGACAAATGTGAGCAATCTGTAGCTCACTTGTGTAGCTGTTAAGGGTGCTGCACACACTCATATCCAGAAGAAGGGAAATTCATTGAATGTGTTATTCAGGTTGAGAACACACCTCTGCCTCAATACAGTCTTCTGCTTACATGAAGGAATTATCCAGCCACCTCAAGGGGATCAAAGGAACCCTGGCTTTTTGGCCAAGATGTTTGAAGTGTGTGGTTAACTTAAAAGTTATATGCATCCTTATCAGTCTTTCCTATTTAACAGTTTGCAAGAGTCTTAAAATGGTAAGAAAAAAGGGGTCTTAGAAATTAAATAAGATTTATATGGGGTTCGGGCAAATTCCAATTCAGGGTTGTTACAGAGTTTTCTGTAACTTGTGTGGTTTCTTTTTTAATATGCCATTTCAGTTTCTTTAACAACTTGCTCCACAGGAATATTTAAGGATGTTAGACCCTTGAAAATTTTCAAATACACTTGACCTTATAAGATTATAATAAGAATATTTGGCATATATATATATATATAATAATATAAGGGCATTTGTAGAACATTTATGCATGAGGAATGGGTTTTGGTTTTGTTTTGTTTTTTTCAATATTAATATTGAATCAATACAAGCATTTACTTTATCTTCCTTTGAGTTAAGAGGTTTGGGGCTTCCTATCGATATTCCCATATTGAAAGTGGAATACTCCGTGGGAGTGTGGAATGACAACAGTAAGGGAACAGTAGTTTCCTCCAATGTAGATTTTAAAATGGAACCTCAGGTGATGTCTCTAAACCCATCCCAAAGATGACATAATCTCATTTACTGTGCATCTCATAATTAACTCTCATTTACCAGTTCTTTTCTCTACCAAAAAAACTTTGCAAAAATAAAGTTATGAAAAGGAAATATTTTTATAATTTTTAATTAAAATTGTATGAAATTATGCTTGAAACCTTGCCTTCTCTTTTCTTTTTCTTTTTCTTTTGCATGCTGTATGTACAGCACTGTGAAATAAAATAAAATATGGTGTGCCTACACTTCTGCAAAAAAATTCCATTCAGAACTGTCTAAACCAAATTTGCTATGTCTCTTTGCCTGTGGCAAAAATATCAACAAATACTGTAAATCTTTCTGGTATTCTCATTTCCTTTGGTTGTTTAAACTGCTTTGAGAGAGTGAGTAGCAAAAAATATATATAATTGCATTCTGTATGTGTCTGCAATTGTGATGCTTTTCTAAATGAAAAAGATTATAGTTTTTAACTTTGTTTATTTGTTCCTTTCTAAGCAATTCCTATTCCATGAGAGACAGCTTTATGTCAGTTAGAGTAGTCACACCGTCTACCTCCTGAAAACACTTATTTTTTCAGTTAGTTGAAAAATACAGTAAATAAAAACTGATGCAGCATTCCAGCCTGCCCAGCCTTGCAGTTCCTTCCATGAATGCCAAGGTGGGGCTGCTGTGTCCAGCCAATGCAGTCCTTGCTTTCAGGAGGCAGGTCTGTCTCCTTCACTTAAAGAATGAAGCTACTCACTCCCAAAGATCTTGTGTCTCCCCACAGGCAATGGAGAGGAAACTAATCACTATAGATATCCATCTTCCAGATTTCCATGTTTCGGGGGAGTAAACCACACCCAAAGTAGTAAATGCTGCCCTAGTAACTAGAGAGGGAAAACTGAGTTTACTTCACACTGATGAGAAGTCCTAAGCTGACTCTTGACTAGTCCTAGTTTTGTCAAGGCACTACAAAGCCAAGCTGCCATTAGTTCTGCAATTCATTCCCAGGTCCTACTCTGGTGTGCTGCTAATACTCATTAGCTCACAGGATCTTCACCACCATGACCTGTGTAACTGTTTCCAGAAGCAAAATAGCCTGATTAAAAATATAATGTGATCCTTCTTAAAAGACAATAGTGAATATCTTGTGAAAACTGCATTCAGTTTTTCTGCTGCTGCTCTAGTTAGCTCTCCAGCACCACTCATCAAGCATTTATTCCTTAGTCAATCTCCCATGCTTTTTTTTCTTATTTTATTTCACTTTCCCATCATGTCACACACATTTTGATTTTCATACTGTGAAAATAAGCCCAAGCTACTCTCAAGCTGACATTCGCCGCTGCTGCTAAAAAACATTTGGGATATGGAGCATGAAGCATTCACATTTATTCTCAGGTCAGTGCTGGAGATTTGATACTGGACACATAAAATTTAGATCTTATCTATTCTGTCCACTTCTTGTCTCTCATATATTTTGCTTGTCAGTATTGCTTTCCATCAAGATAGTGATTACTGATCATACTCATGAACACAAGCAGTTTTGTTCCCCAGAACAGCAATTACGTGTTTCGGGATCTTTATTGGAAATCTAAAACATTCTTGTTTGTATTGAACGCTTTCAACTAAAGATGAAGATCAAGAGTGCCTCATGCATGGACCCTGCATGAAGATTACATCAAGAAGAATAACCTCAATCCAGAGCCCCGAATAAAGATGGTTTTTAAGAAACTGTGCAGGGATTTGGGTCAAAGAAATCGTTCTCACCACACCCAGTATTCTCTGCAGGAGAATAAATAAGTTGGGAGGCTCCTGTAGCATCAGTCACAGCCTGCCCTCACCTCCATCCTTCCACTGGATGTCACCACACTGGGGATGCTCCTGTGTGGCAGGGCAGGGAGGGACAAGCCTTCAGGTCTTCTGCCACAGGGCTGTCACAAGAGCTGACAGAATAACTTCAGTCAAACCCAGTGTTTGTCTGTATGCCAAAGTATCCCTTGCCATCAGCTTTTGAGAGTCTGCTAAGGATGCATTTAGTGTAGGGGAGCACGAAGGTACAAATACAGTGTCCTCATGGCAGAGACAGATCCCAGAACCTTTCTGGGGTGGAGGTCAGCCTGGATTTCACTCTCCAGACTAAGTATCTTAGTGAAGAAGTAGACATATACACATCAGTTATTCCAATATGATCAGTTATTGTGGAATTAGTGGGTTCAAGCTGATTCAAGCTGTCAACATGCTCCGGCACTGAATCAAGCTACATCAGGAGGAAGAGTTGTGTCTGCTGAAACTGATGGAAGATTGCTCATGGAGAGATATGATGAGATACAAATGAGATTACATGAGATTGAATGAGATACAAAACAAATGGAAGTTCTGTGGGTTTTTGTCATTGGCACATTAATAGGGCATTTTACCTCTCCTGAATTACAAACTATGGACAGCTTTGAGTTAGAAAAAAATAAAAGACAAAAGGAAATTATGTATATTTCATTGTTCTGTTCAAGAACCAGGATTTTTAATTACATAAAATACTCATCAAGTATTAGCAATCAAATGTAGACTTTATATAGCACAACAAAATAGAATGAATAATCTGAAGCCTGTCCAGACTAATAAGAATAACTACTCTATGAATCAAAGGATGATTGAAAATTCTCCAGTATATCCCTGCTTTCAACTATTTAATCCAAGTACCTTCTTCAAATGAGAAAATCTATTTTATATGGAAAAAGCTCATGTTTATTAACACAAAAATCAGAGCATTAAAAGCAACTGCTAGACAGGAATTTGCATAACTGGAAACTGCATAACTGTTTCATAATTTTCTCTGATGGAAGATGATTTTTTTATTTATAATTTTTTTCCCTTGACATTTTTCCTTTTTCATTGCAATCCCCCAAAACTTAACACAGCTCACTAGGGACAGCTGCCTGGTCTCAGCCCATGCAGCTCTATTTTTGTGTATTTAATTTGCCTCAAAAGAGCAATTAGCTGTATGTGCGGCCTTTTTATCTGTACTTTTTAAAATGAAAACTACCTAATTGATGCAGTATATAAAATATACAATGTCATGCAAGGTACCTGAAAGACAAGAAACTGACAAACCCCTCATGTTTAAGAAAAAGATACTTTTCATTAATCTAAATGAGGAATATATACATATTTGTTAAAGAAGAGGTCTGATTTTATGTATTATTGCATTCAAATGAGTAAACATAGCAATTAAAAAGTGATTTAAAAATGTATATATCTGTTGCATTTTTTACCATAAGAAATAAATTGTCATTATTTTGAATAATATTAGTCATAGCATAGTGATAGGGATACCATCTTGTAAAATATATATGTATAATCTTATAGTCATTACAAAACATATTCATAAAAATGTCTCCTCTCATGGAACATAATTCATTTTAGTTCCAGTGTTTAACACAAAATTGACACGACTTTATTTTTTATTTTTTAAAACCCTGGAGATACAGGAATAAAGATGACAAAGTGAAAAAAAATTAGGTTTGCCACAGCTCTAACATAATTTTTGGCTTGGAGTGTGAATAAGAGATCTTACCCTTTTTTTTAATTGGGCTAAATATTCAGCTTACACAAAACAAATCAGCTCAGTGGTTGAATCTCCAAATAGTTCAATTTTCAATCTAATGTTATGAGTCACATCTGAGCCTTGTGACCTCAGTATCAGAAGGCATGTTCATGTGAAACATAGTTCTGATCCTCAGGTTTCTCTCACTGTCACTCTTCCCTTTTTTTCCTTTACTGAAATGGTAAATATTTTATCCCCTTTCAGTTTCTAAGTGAATAGTTTACCTTGGATGACTGATGATAGAGTTTCGTACGTGTTTATCTGCTTTCTGCTACTTTTACTTCTATCACTGTTCTGTTATAAGGTGTAATTAGTGTCAGTCACAAG